CCAGCAAATTCCGGTAAGACTCCGACATGAGAGTGCATCAAATCTTTAGGGATTTAATTCAATTTGGTCTAAAGCATGGCCAGCTAGCGGCAGTTGGGGGGGGGCCCCTCCTGGGAGCCCTGGGGGCCCCCCTGTTGCCGGGCCCCTCGAGGGGCCCCCAGGGGCCCCAGGGCCCCCAGGGGCCCCCCGGGGGCCCCCAAAGCCTCAAAACCCAAGACGGACCTTTTCTTGTTTCTTTGTTCAGCAGCTATTTGAATGAATTTGAAAGAAATACTGAAAAGAACAGCACCCACAGGGCCCCGCTGCAGCTGGGGCCCCAGTGGACTGCGGAGCAGTGCAGCAGCAGCATAGAACTCATGGCGGCAGAAGAAGCAGCCGAAATCCACAAATTAAATGTTATGAAACAAAAGGCGTGGGCGCAGCTGCGCATGCTGGGGGGGGAGGCTCCAGGTGTACATACACCTGACGCGGGCGCGGCGTACGGCCCGCTGGCGCTGGCGCTGGCGCTGTTGTGACCGGGCCAGAATGGAGGAAAACGCCGCTAATTGCCATTTATTTAAACGCAATTGCAAATATTAATGTCAATCTTTCAATAAAAATGCATTTTTGAACAAGTTTCCCGAAAAAATCCCGCAGATCGGGAGAGAATTCATGTTTTTGAATGCCCGCCAGCTTTCGTTTCTGCACAGCCAAAGGCCAGTGCGTGCCGGTCGGGGCTTTGCCGCCTCACTTGCTTGTTTTATAAAGGAAATGAAATTGAATAATTGATATAAATAAATTTAATTATTTAAATTTCATTGAATTAAATTTAAAATAATTTAAAAGCATTAAATCCAATGGAAGTTCAAACAGTTCCTCCCCCGTGGCTGGCCCTTCGAGGCGTTTGTTTGTCTTGCTTTGTCGCTCTCCGGACGTTGTGGATTGTGGTTTTATTTTTTCTGTCATTTCATTTATTTTGTTTTTTCTTTTTTCAATTTATTTATTTATTTACCTTTCTGGTTTCTTCCTTTCTTCATTTGCTGCGCTTCCCTGCTGCTGCAGCGCCTTGCTGCGCAGCGCCATTTGTTTTTTGTTGCATTTGCTCTTCGCTGCATTTCAAGTTGTTTTCTTTTCTTCGTTGTCTGCTCATTTGTTTATTATTTGTTTTCTTTCTTTTTCTTTCTTTTATTTATTTTCTAAACCCCAATTTGTCTTCCCGCTGCTCTGTGGCGAACTCCGCCCCTTTACCTTTCAAATTTTGGGTTCTAGGGTTTAGGGTTTAGGTTTTGTTTTTTGTCCACTTTTTGCTGCTTTAGTCTTTACGGGACTCAACTTATGGCCTCGTGGCCCCCTAGATCAGCAGCAGCAGCAAGAGCTGCCTGCAACAGCAGCAGCAGCAGAAGAAACAGCTGCAGCGGCAGCAAGAGCTGCCTGAAGCAGCAGCAGCAGCAGCAGCAAAAGAAGCAGCTGCACCAGCAGCAAGAGCTGCTTGCAGCAGCAGCAGCAAAAGAAGCAGCTGCACCAGCAGCAAGAGCTGCCTGCAGCAGCAGCAGCAGCAGCAGCAAAAGGAACAGCTGCAGCAGCTGCAGCAGCTTTGCCTGTTACGTTATTCCAACTATTGATAACACTTGGCTTAACTCCAGCAGCGCGTCGGATCCTTTATAATTATTTAAATGTAAATAAATTATTATAAAAATGATATTTAATTTAAATTTAAATAAATTTAAATATTTAAAAACCCATTTAGCCGTTGAAGCAACTGGATCGGCCGCAAGGCCGCGGGCTGCATGCAGCTGCATGCGTTTGGTGAGCTCGCAGGCCGTAAGAACACGAAATAAAGGGTTAAAGAAAGCAAATAAAAGAAGTTTAATTAAATTAAATTAAAATTAAATTGAAATTTGATTTAAATTTAATAAAAACTGTTAAATAAGCCCATTTATTGGACGAGTTCGCGCTGCAGCGGTCGATGGTCTGCAGCCGGCGAAACGGCTGCTGGTGGTTCCGCTGCATCTCTTCCGTTTTTAAATCATTTTTTTCCGTTTTTGTTCTTTTAATTTAATTTCCAAAAGTTTAAATCAATTTAATCTCAACAACAAATGTAGGCAGCTGCTGTTTGCCGCTTTCGCTTCGAGCCGCTGCTGGCAGTTTCGCGTGGCGCCGTTTCGCTGGCGCTTTCCCCCGGCTGTACAGACAGCTTCTGCGTTGTAGACCCTTTATTTGTTTTAATTTGCATTTATTTTCGAATTAATTAATTAAACTTTCCAATTTTATTCCGCTGCTTTCCTTAAATGGCATAAACGGGCTGCGAGTGCACCATGGACGACGCCGAAGACCTGCAGCAGTTCCTCGCGCGGCTGGTGACGAAGAAATTCTGGAAAGCCAAACTAACTTGTGGGTCTTTCAAGTGCATCAAATAAAAGATTTAAATAAAACATTTAAATAAAAAGACAAAACCTGGCACTTAAGATCCAAGTTAAAAGAAACTAACTGGGCGAACTCGCAGCGCAAAACCAATTATTCAACTTCGCCGCAAACGAGCCTTTTTCGCTGCCTCGCGGCGCTGCAGGGGCTCCAAACAAGCCCAAGTTGCAGCATTATTTAATTGTAAATAATAATTGTTTAAATGTTTATAAATAATAAGTATTTAAGTATTTTAATTGACTTTTTCCGGGGCTTCACTGCCAGTGCGAATGGCCAGTGAAATCCCCGTGCTGCGGTGTACGTACACTTGAAGATCATTCAGCAGAGTCGCTTTTGCTGCAGATCTTGCTGCTGCAGTGCTGCTGCACTTTGCTCCGCAATGGCTGTTTGCTGCTGCTGCCTTGTGGCTCCCTGCTGCTCCTTTTGGCATCTGCTGCTCTTACCTGCTACTGCTGCTTCTGCTGCTGCTGCTGCTGCTGCTGCTGCTTCAGGGGCAAATGCGTTTCGGGCGCTGCTGGTTGTGGGGGTTCTGCTGTCTCTTCGCTACTTGGGCGCCGCGTGAGTCTTTTTGATTAAAAAAATAATAAAAAGAATCAAAGTTTTATTGTTTTATTTTGCAGTTTGAATTCCTTGCTGCTGCTTCTGCTGCACTTGAGACTTTTATAATTACAAGTTTTGGCTAAAGGCCTTATTTGCTTCAATTGATTTTTGTTTTTTTTGAATTTTTGATTTTTCTTTGTTTTTATTTTTCTTTTTTTCTTTTTTCATTTCGTTCTGACATGCATTTGGCTGCTGCTGCAGTTCCCCTTCTTATTTCATATTTCTCCTTTTGCCTTTTTGCCCTTCTGCTGCTGCTGCTGCTACTCCTGCTGCTGCTGCTGCTGTTGCTGCTGCTCCTGCCGTTGGTGCTGCTACTGCTGCTGCTGCTACTTCTTCTGCTGCTGCTCCTGCTGCTGCTACCCCTGCTGCTCCCACTCCTGCTGCTGCTGCTACTCCTGCTGCTGCTGCTTCTCCTGCTGCTGCTGCTTCTCCTGCTGCTGCTGCTGCTGCTGCAGCTTCGCCTCCGTCTTGGGCATATTTTTGATTTTTTGGAACTTGGGGGAGGGCGGGGGAGGGGCCAGCGCCTATTCAGTTTTCAACAGAGGGGCGAATTACTTGTTGGGGGACTTGCGGCTGCAGCGGATAGACCAGCAGCTGCGCAACGCGGGTAATTAATGGATTAATTAATTAAATTAAACAATTAATTTAGTTGTTTATTTATTTGTTTATTTGTCTTGTTTAATTCTGCCTTCGTTTGATCCATTTTCCTCGAGAAAACACTCCAAACTGTTTTGCTGCACTCGCTGCAGCAGCTTTTATGCTGCAGCAAATTAGCTGCTAAGCTCACGCCGCATGCAGCTGCCTCTTTGCTGCTGCTGCTGCTATCCCTCCTTGCTGCTGCTGCTGCTAGTGTTTCTCTACTGCTGCTGATATGCCTGTTTGCTGCTGCTGATATCCCTCTTTGCTGCTGCTGCTAGTGCCTCTTTGCTGCTGCTTCTAGGGCCTATTTGCTGCTGCTCCTAGTGCCTCTTTTCTGCTGCTGCTGCTGCTAGTGCACTGTACTATTCTTAGTATGGCAGAGGCTGTGTTTTACTACTTCTTCCGCTGGGCGCTTTTGGTGTTCTTGCTGCAGCAGCAGCAGCAGCTCCTGCTGCTGCTGCTGCCACTTGCTGCCGTGCTGTTGCCTTTTCTGTGGCAGTCTTTGTGTCTAAGTAGTGCAGTGTCTGCTACGTTTGCTGCCGCCTTGGTTGCTGCTGCTGCTACCAGTCTTGCTGCTGCTGCGGCTCCTGCGGCTCCTGCCACTGCTGGTGCTACCAGGGCAGCCGGTTGTAGAAGTTCGCTGCTGCTGCTGCTGTTGCTGCTGCTGCTGCTGCTGCAGATGCAGCAGTGGAAGACGACGGAAATGTTGTTGCTTACCGACCCCCTGTGGAGTTGAGGTCTCGGGACGCAAATAAGAAATGCCCTTGTGGTTCTGGGCGGAAGTTGAAGAAGTGCTGCGGCGTTTAGGTGTACGTACACCTTAGCTCTGGATGCAGATTTCCTTTTAATGCGCTTTTGCTCCTTTGGGGTTCTTCTGGGTTGTTGCAGTTGTGGGGAGTTGCCTCGGAAACTGTGACTGAGAAACCCTAAACCCTAAACCCTAAACCCTAGGTGTGTACAACAAAGGCGAAAGAGCAAATGACACTATTTGCTTCGTCTTCTCCCGATTCAGAAACGGCGGGGGCCGTCGTTTCCTCTTCAGTGGCTCTTCAGTTAAGTGAAAAACGCAGCGAAAAAATGCTTGAGAGATTGGCTCGCAAAGTAGCTGTAGAGTGCAATATAAATTAGTAAAATAGAATAACTAAAATAGAGGCAAGGGCGCAGCAGTAGAAAGCGTTAAAGGCGATTGGTAGGAGGAGAGACAAATGGGAAAGAGAATAAAAATGAAAACGAAGAAGCTGCAGCAGAGACGCAAAGAAAAGTACTTTTTAATATTCACAGAGGCCGACGTAAATAATTAGAGAAGACAAAGACAGACTTGAAGCAGCTGAGAAGTGATCTTGGTTTTATCTTCAGCTTCTAAATGGGAATGATGGAGAGTTCTGCCTGCAGATTGGCCCATGAAGTGAATCGTATGCTTCGAAAGCTGATCTGATTCGAATCATTGTTCATAATATTCGAAATGAAAACTAGTCTAAGACATTTTGTGCGTATTGCTTAAGATGAAGCGCACTTGAGGCGCACTCGCTCGCCCTTGGGTCTCAGGAGAGCAAAGCTGAATGCTGATGAGCAAGAAAGCTCAAGAGTGGCGAATTTGTATGTATGTAGCATGTGTGTGGTAATAAATAAAGAATAAGTGTTTAAAAACAATTAGCTGCTGCTGTTTCGTTGCAGAAGTACGCAGTGTCTTTCGGTTGCTGCTACAGATGTTGGCTGTCGCCGACAGAAAGCTCGGTACACGAAATCGGGAAAACCAGAACTACAAGAATGGAGTCTTTAAAAGTGCAAATCACTGAAAATGAATTGTATATTGAGCGCTTATTCAAGAAAAGAGGTGTCGAGTGGAAGAATATTCATATTATTCGGGCATTTGCTTGGGTGATATTCGTTTGCCGCCGCAGGCAACGTCGAGCCGCGGGCGTCTGAAGGCAAATAAATTATGCAAATTAGCTTTAAATATACCTTTTGTTTAATTGCATTTATTTTTTAAATATCGATTTGTTCGGCTTCTGCATTCTCATTCGCTGTTCTCGCGGTGAAGGGCTCCGCCTGAGCCACTGCTTGGTGTGCTCGCTCGAAGTCGATCACCGAGTGAGTGTGGGGGAACCGGCAGTCATATTTTGAACTTGAAACCCAGCTGGAAAACAAAATTCTCTGTTATTGTTTATAAAAAGAGAATAAAATTTGGCCGAAATTAGCGCGAAAAATCAGGAACGCTGCCGGAGCTCGCCGATGCTGACATGGCGGTCTGCCGTTTGCGGCTACCGGGCCTTGCTGTCTGAGCTTAGCTTTAGCACACTTGCTTAAAATGTCACACCACTCTTCTTGAAATTTAATTCTTTACGTTTACATTTCTATTTATTTTTGAACGTGAAGAGCTTCTTCGAAAGAAGCAGAGAGGCAGACACGCAGCCCGACCTTCACGATGGCGACTGGCCGTCGGCTGTGCCTCTCTCCAGGCATAATGTCCATCTTTTTGAGTTTTATTGCAGCTATAATTCTTATTCTTGGATCTTCAGATGTAGTTGAATCATATTTAGACACACTAAATGTCACAAGGAGGTTGCGGCGATCCAGAAGCCGCTATGTGCTCAACCCGCCCGAGTCGCCTGCCCGGCGCGTGAAAAGGTCTTCTTCTCTCCCTTCTCGGTGTGCCTTTCCCCTGATCTTTACCTTCTTTAATACATTATGAGCCTACAATTGCACATTTTACAGCAAAGCCAACCCCTAACCGAGCCAGAGACAAGCACAGCAGCAGCCCACCGTAGGCACGTCTGCTGGCTTGTGATTCATGTATGAACTGTTTCTGCGGTCTTTATCCTCAGCCTGCCATCTGGAATGACTGATGAAGGTAAATCTAAATATCCTTACTCATGAGTTTTCAGCTTTATCCCCCGAGCAGGAACACGGGTTTTGCTGCGCCGATTGTCTCGGTGCTGTCTCGCTGTCTACACCGCAGGCCTGCTAGATACGCTAAGACAGGCAAGTAGAACATCTTTTGTGTTGCCTTTTGCGTTTTTTGTGTTTGCAGAAGTAAGCTGAACTTCCAAGAGGCCCCTTACAGGGCAGATCAGGCCCCTGCAGTGGCTCACAAAGCCATCGTGACTCTGCCGTTCTGTTGGCGGCAGAATGGTTGCAGACGGTTACCTCTTATGTGCAGCAGCACCGACGCTTCATCACTTCCGCTGCTTCTGCTGCAGCTGTGTTCCTGCATGTCCGCGTGTTTGCCGTTTATCGCAGCAAGAAGCGCTCAAAGCTCCCTTGGAGGACACTGGACCAAGAGGTGAAAACATCAAGACAAGCAGCAGCAACAACCCTACTTCAAATAGCAAAACAAGTTTAAATAGCTATACAATCATGAATAAGCTGTTTAGAAAATAAAATGAGGTCGTATGTGCTCGTAAACGCTCATGCAGCTTGCAGAGCATGGCCTGTCATCCGAGCCACAAACGAAGAGCCTTTGCATTCAAAATTCATGTTTGAATATTTTTCCTATTTTTAAGCCTCAGATTATGCTGGTTTCAACAGCATTAGCCGTAGACTCTAGTTGTGTTGGCCCACTGGGTTTTGATTTGCTTTTGCAGTTGAGAAATTTCTGAGCAGCAAGCCAACAAAGGCTGCACTTCTGGCTGCGGTGACTCGACAAGTGGACTTCAACTTGGGGCCCACAAGTGAAATACCTATGCAGAGCTGCGGCGCGAACTCTATGGCTCGGATTTACAGCCCCGATGAGGTGGTGCGCCGCCTGAAGCTGACCAAACCCCCTTGCCTTGGCCCGGTAGAAGACACCATAAGGGAGTTCAACATGTTTGTGACAGAAAACGGAGAAGCAATGGAAAAAGTGCGAGAAAATATCAAGCCAAGGCCGCACAAAGCCTTTAGACTTGCCTATATTCAGTGGTGGGTCTTTAGCTTCTGCCTTCGACTGCGCTTGAGCTCACTCAAGGCTCTGGCCTGCAGCCTTGTATTCTTCTGTTCTTCCCCCAGCCCTGGCTGCAGCTCATCCTTGTGTGTGTAGTTTTGCTGCTGCCCATTATTCTGTGTGTAGTTTTGCTTCAGCTCATCTTTCTCATGTAGTTTTGCTGCAGCTCATCTTTCTCATGTAGTTTTGCTGCAGCTCATCTTTCTGTGTGTCTTTGCGGTTTGGTGAGACTCAGGAATGCGCTAATGGTGAAGCCCAACACGCTGGAGCTGCTGGCTGCTTTTCTGAACGAAGCTCAGGGCTTCCAGGCAGACGAGGTGGACGGGGTGACGATTCTGCTTCAGGAAAACATGAAGTTAGATTCGCGCAGGGAGCAGCAGATGCTGACCAACATTCAGTTTGTCTTGAACCTCCTAAGTACAGACCCCAATTGGGGCACGCCGAGCCTGGCTTACTTGGGCAACCTGATAGGAACGCAGGCCCAAGCTTTGCTCACACCCAACACCCAAACCATCATTCATGTTATGCGTGAGACGCACACGCCCGTGACAGTCTGCAAAGCGGAGCAAGCAATTCGCAAGAGAGAAAAAGGATTCGTGGGAGCTGTCTTTGAAGTTCCCCAGATGGGCAGACTGGCCGTCATGGGGGGCCACCTTAAGGGCTGGAGTGCGGAGCAGTTTGAGAACGTCTTTCCCGAGCTCATCAAGTTCTGCGGCAGCAGGCAACTAGGCAAGGCTTTCAGTCCTTAAATTGGATGCCGTCTTCAAGTTCCTAGTGCTGCATCTGATATTGCATAAACGAGGCTGCATTTATACAGAATTCGAGTTGTAGCGTGTCTGGAGGTAGATGTTTCTTGTTTAAAAAAGGAAGAAGTAACGCGTCTTTCACATAATTCTTCCTATAATGGTTTTGCCTGTGATTGCATACTCACCAGGGTTAGACTCATTCTCTTTGGGAGTTGTCTTTGGGGCCGATTTCAACGAACATTTTCACGCTGAGTCCCTAGCACATCTCTACAAGACTGCTGCGACAGAGAGCGCACAGTATCCCATTTTCGAAAAGGCACAGGAGCTTCCAGAAGATGTTTGTGAGGCCTCCCACTTGGACCCCACGCACTGCTCCCCTCACCATCAACATCTTTTGAACAAAGGAAAGAATGATTAATGTGAATCCGCTTTCTGACGTTGTGCATTTCGTTGCTCAGCGGATAACCTCAAGATGACACATCTACTTATGGAGGCTCTGACCGAACCCCTAGACATTATTGACAGCACCTACGTGCCTCTTCTCTGGTCTGTCGACAGGCTAGGCAGAAGCGTCAATATTGAGGGGGCCCCCAAGACAATCCCGGCATCTATGCGGCATCTGGGATTCCGCACAATAAGCACCTGCTACAGGGCAGGCATTACCTACAAGTGGTTGCGCGGTTGTCGCTATCCCAATGAACTTCCCAAGGAAGTAGGCAGTGGCAGTCTGTGGCAAGACCTGCTGCAATTCTTTTTCGTGATCACTTAGAGGTGCACCACTCTGTGCGAATACATTATGTGCTGTTTGTAGGAGGATCCAGATCCTTGAATGCCATCAAACAGTCTTTTGTAGCTCCTCGCCTACTTTAGTGCATTCCCACTAAGCTGTGTAAGTCTTGTTCCAATGTGCTGAAACCTCTCTTCATCCCATTACTGTGTGTCGCGGCGACTCAGGGACACTCACCGTTCAGCGTGCTCAAGCGTTGCCTGGCCTCAAAAGTGTACACTTCAAATAGAGGCGCAGGATACCTCGACAGAGTGGCAATCCGTTTGCCCACATCCAGCACTGCAGTGTTGGACCGCATTATAGAAGTGGGGAGCGCAGGGGAGTCGCTGCCGGCAGTATTTGCTTCGATTCGCAAGGGCGTTCATGTGTACGACCTCCGGAGCGACCACTTGATGGTAGGGAGCATCATTGAGTTTCTCAAGCTCGACTAGAAACAGTCAAAGCAAGTGAAGTGAATGGGCTGCTGCTGTTGCTGCTCGGCAAACCATTTCGCAGTCCTATTGACAGCCTCTGCAGCGGCTCAGCAACAGACCGAACTGTGCCAAGCGTCCAAAGGCTCTGTACGTTTCTTCTGCCGATACCTGCGGGGGACGCATGCAAAGGGTTTGTGAGCCGGACACTTGATCGGGCGTGGAGTATGCGTTTTGGAGCTTTACCGTGACGCCCTCGTCCGTTGTAGTGAAACTAATTGTTTGAAATTTGCTATTCTTACCGGCTCATCTCGGGACTGTCAAGGAATACAAAAGGGATCCTTTTGTGTTCTGTCCGCGTCTGATTTTTTGTGTATGCTGTACATCTTGAATTGACCCCTTCAGATGGTTTCCAAATTATCTGAAGACACCTTTTATCAAGCTTTCGGCTTATCTGCTCATCCGGCCAGTGCCCACAAGCAAAGCCAAAAATTCTGGGGCGGTCCTACTGTTATATTCATATTTCCGCAAAATAACAGTAGAGTAAGTCTGCCCTATTCGTTAACTGCTGCAGCATTTTTTTGCTGCATTTTTATTCTGACCTTACCAAAGACCGGCAATCTCCAAAACTCTTGCGGCGCCTTCCCTTTACGTGAAGGCTGACGTATGGTAACTGCTTGCGCAAGTGAGGTAGCTCGCCCTGATTGCGAAATTAGAACAAGTTCGAATTTTAGCCTATAGAGCCTCTGTGTCTCATATAGGTAGAGAACATTACTTGCACGCCGCCCACTGGTTGCCACAAGGGCCGCATTCAAAGGTGAGCTACGGGGCTGTTTCCTGAGACTACCTTCCCGGAAAGCGTCCAATTATACAGATAATTGTAATGTGGCGATTGCCCCATCGCAGATGCTATCCCTTGCTTGTAATTAATCACCAATATAGGCTGTTGCATGGCAACTGTGGAACCTTGCCGTGCACAGTTAGACTTGTGGCTTTGTTTGGAAGAAGTTGAGGATTTCATTGCGCGTTGTAGCGTGAGCATTGATGAAGGGGCACAAACAATTCCGGAAAGTGCTCCGAAAGAAATATTTCTATCGTGTTATAAGAACTTTTATGCCTCCCTGGAAATGAAGTGAGCGTCCTCTTGCAAGTCTGGTTTTTCTCCGCCGGGATAGATTTGGCTTAGCGGTATCCTTGAAGCAGATAAGTATCTAGATTTTGTGGGAGAGCACTGATTTAGCAGTGAGTAATTAAAATGCTGTAGAGGGGTTCGGGGGCCTCTGTGCAGATGAGCCTCCGTAAACACTGCTACAGCCTTAGCTAAGCACCCCCCTCCTCAATTGATGAACGTCAGGTAAGTATCATCTCAATTTGGAATGGACTGGCTTTATTTATGCAAGGCATCCTTGCAGAGACAGCGTTGCTTCCTAGGACCTCCAAAATATTCGCAGCGTCGTTATCGGACAAAGTAGGAGAAACATGGGCAGTATCGAAGATAGCTCTTGGCTCGTTACACACTAACGCATATCTCTGAATTCACTAACAAAGAAGAAGAATTGCACACGCAGAGGTGGCAGCTGTATGCTGTGGTCTAGGTTAGCGCCATTTCAGACAGACTGCAACAGTGCTTATGTGCAGAAAACTGCGGAAGGTAGGAGTAACAAACACTGTTAACTTCTGCAAGCCGCATAAGGGCTTAAAGAAACACGACAACGCAGCAAGGACTACAATTTAATTCGGTCTTTACGGAGCAAGCTTTGGTGGAACTGAAGGGTCAATCACGTCGTCAGCGATTAGTAGCAACCAGCAATTAGGGACGGAGACTGTCCCTTCGTAGAGATTGTTTCTGGTGAAAAAAGAAATGCAGCATTCATATGCTCTCCTGTTCACCCTGCCCAGCTCCCACTTGAGTAGCCCTATTCTCGTACGAGACTGAGGGAGGCGCTTGTAGCCATATGGAGCTTTGCTTAGCACCTATCGCCCTGAGCTTGCCCAATGACGGCCACTAACACGTACAGTAGCGTCTGCTTCACACTTTGAGTTGTGGCACGGAGCTTCCTTGCCATGAATAGAGCCTGCTGCAGAGTTCCAGCCCAGCGCTCCGCTGGTCTTACAGGCACAGCACTGGTGCTGTAAACGCTCGCGAAACTCAGAGAAGCTCGCGCCAAAAAAACCATAAAAATTCCTATTTACATTTTTTTGGCGCGTCTGCGCCTGCTTGTGGCTTGATTTCTCATGCGGGGTAACGAGCGTGCATCACCATACCCAGCCAGACGAACAAGAGCGGCCTAGGTTGACAAAATCTAGAATAGACCGCCAGGGCAGACCTCTCCTACACGAAAAATTAATTCTGTAAGAAAGTTGAAGCAGCGGCGTCTGCGGTTTCAGGGGATATTAGGTTGCAGGCTGTTGTTTATCGTGGAATTACAAACTTGCATTCAATGAATGCACTGCTGAGGCAGTGCGGCTACGAGAAGACCCTTTGTTGGCGAAAAAAGCAATTCGCGCAATCGGCTGACGATATATTAAAATATTTGTGGCCAGTGAGAAAATTTGGGTACTTGTCCAGTGGCCGGGCTGTGCACGGGTATTATGCTTTCCTGTACATATGCTGCTGAGAGCGTATGGGTCTTGCCTGCGCACTGCGGTTCTGTCTTGGCGCGAAATTGATGGCCGATATCTTAAAAATATATAAGGTAATCATACTCTAATTAATTATCATTCCGGTGCACGGACCACCTGCACAGTCTCTGCGGTATTGGAATGCTGACAACAGAGCCGCTTCCGAAGGGACTAGTGAAAAACCGCAGCGAGCACGCGTCCCTCTCGAGTGCCCTAAAACACAATCTCGAGAAAAAGAATTTATAAAATTAGAAGTAAAAGTATTACCAACGTCTAGTTCTCACTTTAGACCGGTTGAGTGGGGAGCGTAAGAGGCCCCAGGGCTGTTGTATAAGGTCGCACGGGGAACCCTCACAGCCAAAACACAACATAGAGCCTTATCGCAAGGTCCCTTGAGCTGACAATAGTGAAAAGTCTTTTTAAACGTAATTGGGTGATTCTCTGCATACTCTGCGGGTTTTCCTCTCAAATCCGTTCCCCTCTAGGAGGCGGAGCAGCGAATGAGTGACTCCGCGTATCGCTGTGGAAGTCGCGTAATGTTTTATTGGTGTAACTTGGCATTATCTTCGTCGTGAGACTCCCAAGTGGAGCTTGATCTGCTGAGACAGATTCATGCCCCGCCAGACGATGGTGTGTGGTATTCTTCGCCGCTCGCCCCTCTTGCAGCTTCTGGCAATTTTGCTGCCGCAATTTGCCGCGAACGGGCCCCTGGCTTCTCTATCTGCAAACAAAACAGCGGTTATCCGGGTTCCTCGGAAGGTGGTGGATGGCTGGCAATTGAATCAGGCCACGGTTGGGGAGTTTGAGGACCCGCATGCGATCACCCGTCGAACTGGGACCAGAGGACGCAGTATGACCCCTGTTTTCTGCACAGTTCTCAGCTTCATCATCGCTGCACTTTTCCTCAAAAGAGCCCGACGGGAGAAGGAAGGCAGCGTAAGTTGCAACATCTCCAGCTTTCCGCAGCAGCAGCAATCTAACTGCACATACTTCAGCAGCAGCAGCGCGAGCCAAGCGGCATGAATTAACCTCATGGGGGTCCGCAGCTCAGTGGGAACTGCCAGGAATTCGCGCACTTTGAGAAGACACGCAGCTGGAGCCGCTGCTGCAGTGACTACTGCTGCTGCTGCTGCTGCTGCTGCTGCTGCTGCTGCTGCTGCTGCTGCTGCTGGAGAGGGAGCGTCTTGCCAGGCTGCGCAACAGTGATGAACGCCACATAGTTTCCTGTCCTGCACGAGTTCAAATGGACATCTTTCACTTTAATCTGCTGCTAGAGTACATGGAAAGCTGTGACGGCCTCGACCACCGCAACACGGAGTGTGGCTTACAGTGAAATATATGCCAGTCAAACCATCTGTTTTCAATGGCTCTCTGTCGCTTGCAAAAATGCTTGGAGGCTGTGGAGTTCATGGCTGTTTGCATGGCGTCTTTGAACGGTCTGTGTGGGCATCAAAGTAACTTTATGGGGCAAATTGAGCAATTAAATGAAAATAATGTGCAGTAAATCTGCAGGCGCATTTCGTGAAATCCCCATATGCAGCCATAAAGCGAGAACGATACACTGCCGATCACTGCCACGGAGGCGAAGCTTAGATCTTGAGGCTTGAGGCTTGGGGTCGAGGGTCTAGGGCTTTATCACACCGATTGAAAGGGCCGGCTGTAGATATGGATACACTTGCGGCAAAAGTGGGGGCGTTGCCCCGCAAAAAATTCTCATAATGGTTCACTCAACCAGTGAATGCGCCGCCGACCCACAGGCCGTGTCTTGTGTCTTGGCATTTGTTTTTGTATTCACGCTGGGTCCTACACTTTTGTTCGTTCGCTGCATCCACGTGTACGTTACACTGCCTCTCTGTGTGCGCGGGTGGCTGCAGGAATATGATCCAAACGAAGAGTGGTATTATCCGAGCTCGCCAAGCAACAGCCGCCCTGCCAGCGCCAGCCCCTCAAACTTCCAACAGGGAACCACGGTGGACAACCCGCCAGACTCCGAGCACCCAGTCGAGAGCACATTAACCGCGAGCCAGCTGGACATTCCCACCAGCGAACTGCCCAGTGTCTTTGGGGATGCGTCTTCCTTGCCATCAGAAGATGCCGAGCTATACAGAGAGCCAACACCAAGCAGTGATTCAGAAGACGACCAGGAAAAAAAACCCCAACCGATATTGGGAGAACAAACAGTGGTGCGTACGGCCATAGCAGCACAAGAAGCAGAGATACCAGTAATTTTAAGGCACTGAGGGATATTGGATTTTCGTGAGCTGCACATTGTTAAATAGGAGAACATATTAAATTGTGTTGTCTGGCTGCTGGAAACGTGCTAAGGAAGAGCTTTGTGAAGGTATTTGGCAGCAGCACTGGTGCGATGTGGTGGGCTGCCACAAGACTGAAGTGAAGCGGATCTAGGTCCCTTTAGCTCTCCAGGTGGCATACGAGGCTGGTTGGGGGATATACTCGTGTGCTTGTGAGCGGCGGAAAGGAGAAGTGCCCATCATGGCCCCAGCAGCTAGTCTTTAGATCCAGTGGCCTGTAGTGTCGACTATAGGGATTGCGATTGCGTGTTGTTTCGCTTTATTGTTACTGAGGAAGTGCAGATGGTACATCTTTGCAATAATGTTCTTCACATGCTCACTGATGAAAAAGTCATATGCAAAAGTTTGGGGGCTATGTGCAGCACTTGGCACCTGAGGGGAGAACCCGGCTGTTCTCCTTGTTCGCGTCTAAGGTTTGGCCCGATCTGCTTCAGGCATTTTCCCCTCGATTACGGAACAGTGACCATACAAGATATTCTAGTTGTGACATCTGCAACAGAGCGCAAGCTGACGGGGCCTTCCTGTGTGTCTATTAGGTCATGCGTGGTGGCATGAGCCGACCATACTGCTGCCCTTGTTTTTGCATGTGCCCGCGTAAGGAGGAGACTGCTACTCAGCATTTCTGCATGTTGTGTGCTTGGAGAGAGCGCAATCATAGTATATTGCGCCAAACAACTAGCGTAAATCTCGACTGAAGCACCTGCTTGCTTCCTATATTCCAACATTCTTGTGTGACCATCCTGGCAAGCTGCATTTGTACTGGTATGAGACGCGCACATACGGCACAGAAAGTTAGTTGGGGCATAACGCTGAAGCGGAAATCGCAGTGTGGCATCTGATTCATTTACATGGGGGTGCAGACCTACTTCTAAAAGGAGCTCTTATAACAGAGGGGTCTATGCATCTATAGAAATACTTTCTCAGCCAGCGCCTCATGCACACGATTTGCTATGAGACATACATCACAGTTTTACATTCTGCCCAGCAACCTCCAGTCTGCAGCCTAACGAATAAAAAGAGCAGTGGTAAGGGCTTCGTAATGACACTAAGCAGGAGATAAGGCTCTCCCGCATGGCGAGCGTATCTACACTTCAGACATAATCAATATATTGCAACGTTCGAAGTTTCTTTATTGCTGGCTTTACATTATAAGTTCAGCATCTGGGTTTGCAAAGCATGCATGCCAGTGTTATCGGACGGGCGGCGGCAGCACTTGACTCATTCTGATATTTCCCAGCCCTAGCTAATGGCCACGCGAAACCAGTTTCGTGCACATCGTTAGGAAAAGCTACTAGCGTGTTAATGTTTGTGTCCTTAAATGCCATCTATCTCTCAGTTGCCCTACGTGAATAGATTGACTGACGATGGTCGGGATCTTTTTGGAGGTGCAGGGATGTCGCTGCACCCACAACAAATGCTACTTGAACCTGCGTCTGTAGGGACTAATTCAACTCACTCATAATGCAACAACTCTCGAGCTTTTGGTGGATGGTGGTAGGTAGAAGCAGCAAGGCAGCTCCTTAGACAGCGTGAAAGATGGAAGTGATTGCGTAGGCTACAGCGTGGCACCAACTCGATGCGGCAGCGGGAGCGTGGCACCAACTCGACGCGGCAGCGGAAATGTCAAGGCCACCAAGGCGAGTGAATGCATCGCGACGGAATGAAGGGTGTCATGGGCTTTAGTATGACGCTTCAAGCATATGGGAAGCGTGTTTCTGTAATCCTCTGCATATCATGAGAAAACGGGTGCTGCTACACTTCAGCGGCCGACGTCGTTGCTGAATTGTTCCCGCAGCTAGTAAGTTGTCTTTGCAAGTGTGGCCATGGACTGTTTCGTGGTATCGTCGGTTGGTCCCTTTGTTGCTGCGTCTGCACTGTGTAGTCTTACGCTTGGACACAAGAGCAGCAAAGTTTGCTTTGCTCGCTGTGGGTGCAACATGTTTTGCGTCCGTTAGCGCATAAAGTAATGTGCAGAAACTAGCTTCAACATGCAGCTGGCCCTTCAAACGTTGCAGTTCAGGTTAACTTCATGCCTCTTCCTTTCATGTCGTTTGCGTGTGCTTGCATACAGCATCTGGGGTAGATTTAATACTTATATGCAGTAGCCGCTTGACCGGGTATGGCGAAATTCTGGGCTTTGACTCCATACACTGTGGGTCTCGGCGAATTCGGAAGGTTTATCTTTCATAAGATTTGAGCTGTGAGACGTGATGCGTGCAACAAAAACAAGCCCAGAGTACGGCCTTTTATTGTGTCCTCAGCATGGTAGTCGCCAACGCTGCTGCCCGTTTTTGTCGTAGCAAGTACGTTGCCTTAACTGATGTGCGCTGCAGCGGTGAACACGCTGGTGACAATCCGGAACTTAGAGTATCGGGCATATTTTGCTCCCATTTCCCTGTGATCCAGCGCTTCTGTACTGTGTATAATAGAACAGATGTTGAAAAGGCCACTATTCTTGCAAAACTGCACGTTATCTAGTTTCGGCCTTGCTTGAGGCACTGCGATGGTACGATCGCAAGTGACGCTTGGAATATGGCGTGAAGCTGTCTGCACTCTGACTGGCTTTTTCAAGTGCAGCCGGAAAACTAACAGAAAGTGTGTTTTGTGCATACCAGAGAAACAAAGAGTCACTGCATCAGGCGTCTGTTTTCTGCTTTCCTCAGTCCTGAGGTGCATTGAGCAAAAGATCCCTATAGGTGCCCTCCGCTCAATGCCTTACTTTCAGCTCTTCATAAAATATTGAAGAATGAGCTCTGGCGATCGTACAGTCATTCTATGTCTGATAAAAGGTCTTTCAACTCCATCGTTGATACAGTTGGTGGGTTGTCCTGTTCGAGCTTTCTACACGTAGAGACTCCTCTACCACATACCTACAGGCCAGCCATGCAATAGGTTCATCATTGCATGCCAAGCTGTCCTCTTGTCTGATTGTGGCTTAGCACCTTAAAGTATTTTAATTTCCCTTCGTGGTTTGCCTGATTGGTGGCGTAGAGAGGAACCAGCGAGGAATAACGCTACCAGAGCAGAATCTGAGTTGCGCTACCGCGATATAGCATCTTTTTCTCAGACAGTATGTTTGTTTCAGTGACGTGGATGTATTCAAGCACTATGCTTCCAGATAAAAGGAACTACTTGGGCTGTTGGCGTGGTCGTAGAAACTGAATTATTCGGATGCCTTCAGACGATGGCAACAGCAGTTGAAACCTTGCCATTCAATTCGGCGTCATGCAAAGCTTCGATGAAGAGCCAGCACCTTTGAAGCTGACCTGCTTTTCTGCAACCTAACATGTCGTACAGATAGTAGGCACTTGTGTTTGTTTTTGTATAGTCCTGTGTAATCGCTACAGAACTTGCCGTCATCACCCACTCGCTCAATTTGCCTGTCCTGCCCGGTTACATTGCACCAGCACAGCTCCTTACGTGTGTCTAGTAAGTGCCGTACTGCGGATATTTTTAGTGCACTTTGAAAAAGCGGTGGTCGTGCATGCGACTCCGATTTGAATTCTGCGCACGTCAACTCATTTACGTAGCACGTGGGCCGCCCTCCTCGCTCTCATCAGTAAAAGCTTTCGTGGGGTTTCCTCATATTATCAACAAGAATGTGTGTTGTCGACACTAGATAACGCTGAAAGGCCTGTAAATCAAATAGGAGCCATTTCTTGCTTGCTCATGTGATGCAGGGAGAATCTGCTGAGCCGCCGGCAGTGCCTGATAACACTTACTTCCATAGATTCCACGCAGATCTTTGGGGGAGCATTCCTGTAAATATTTTCGAGGGTCAAGTGTTTAGTACAAACGTATTCTCACTTGATCAGCATGCGGTCGGACGCTGCAGTAGCTGTACCTTGTTTGACGTAGCTTGTGCGCTTCCATCTCAGTTTTTCGGTGCTATCAGCTAAGCAGCTATTGCAATTACACAATCTTGCTAAAGATGTATTTTTGAAGCTTTTCAGTGGGATCGTATACTATAATTCTGTTGGATGCGTAGGTACCTGTAAACCCCATGGCATTAAAGGTACGCAGAAGCATTCAGGAACCCGGCCAAGTAGCTTGTGCGTCTTCACCCTAGATTGTCATTAACTGGAGTTTTGGTTCCGAAAGAGATAGCAAGCATTTCACTCACTGTGCCCGTGGGCACTTTTGCCGCGCGAAAGTTTGCGCCGATGTACATACTAGCAGCGGTGGTGAAGTGAAAAGTTCTGCGAACAGCAGTCATTTCTGACCCGTGTTACCACTTTAGGCTACTGTGTTTGCGTGCGAGGCGCGAATAAAACCTAAATGCAAATGCATTTTACCTAATGCTTGGGCTCACTTCTGGCCACGTTTTTCATGGGAAGACTAACTGTCAAAATCGTGAGTATCTGCAGCATTTCACCCGTTTCCTCTCAAGGAAGCAAATTGTTTGAAGCGCATTCATCTTTGTGCTCACAACGATTGCTTAAAACTCCGCTGAAGCCGGTAGAAAACAGGCTTTCTGAACAATGGAGCAGCGAGTAGGCTACGCATTTGCTCAGTTCTCCAGTTGTAGAAGATAGACCGGAATCGATGAGAGAGCTGAAATGAGATTCAGCATATGCCTTGAGTTGCAGAAATGCAGATGCATATGACGGGCCGGTGCTTCTGTAAATCCAGGAAGTGCGGCAGTTGTACCACTTTGCAAGCCTCTTTTCAGAATTTGAACGTTTGATTCTGGGGTCCCCAGGGCAAAAAGGAGTGAAAGAGAGGCTCTTGAGCATCTCTCACGCCCTCGCTGGACCAACCAAAGTGTCATTCCGAGATTTTATGTCACGGCAGCGTGTGACTTGAAGTGCGGAGACCTGCATTGAGATCAATTCTGACTTTTGCAAGGAAACTGCACTTCGATTTGCTGAATTGAAGCACGGCAGCCACTTTTGAAGTATAGAAAACGTCTGGCGGGCTAGAGGGGA